GAATGTTTTCACTTAGGGAGATGAAATTTTTCAAGGCAGAAACGGACTTCTACCTGTGACTTATGCTCACTCAGGCCCACTGCTCTCCTTGGCCCTTGGTTTTCTGGGGTGATGTGTCGTGTCAGTATCAGTCAGACACAAAGGCCAAACTTTTGTTTGTTGTACAAGATAAAACTCATCTGTCCTGGCCAGGTGTGCTTGCAAAGGCTGTGGGAACCAACAGGCTTCTCAAATCAATGTTGATGGCTTTGAGTAGAAGGGTCTTAAGAGTGCTTAGTGTGAAGGAGAGGAGCAGAGGGGGAGGAGGTGGGCAAGTGGATTTAGTACTGATGATTTTTCTGCTTTTTTGTGGGAATCAGTCACTGCCAGTGCTCAAGAGGAGCAGTTGTGTTGAAGGATTCAGGAAGGTGTGTCTGAAAAGGTAAAGGTTAGGCCAGAATCGGGCAGTTTGAGGAGCTGATGTTTTGACCACTTAATCAGTAAGAAAATTTCCCTGGTTTGCTGTTGTGAGCGTCAGGATGTGAGATCACTGTTTGGCTGGAGAGCTAAAAGCTGCAGGAACCTGCTCATGGTGCTGCGCGGCTTTGTGCCGTCCATTGTGCAGGATCCTCTCTGAGTTCAGAGAGGATGTGATGGGGGTGCTTTGCAGGGATGGTGCAGGCTGGCAGGATACATGAGCTTCATCACCTACAGGGCATTCATTTCTTAAGGGTGGGAAGAGGCCAGTAATGTCTTAAACTGTTGTCAGAGCCCACTGAGGAAGTCAGGTTGTTAGCAGAAATGGCTACATAAATAGCTTGCTATAAATGCAAGTGTGAGCAGTGATTTCCAGGCAGGTGTTGTGTGGCAGATCTGTAGATATGCACAGGGATAACCCCAAGTGCTCGCTCCTTTGCTCAGTGCTGAGATGAGTTCAGTAAGGAGTTGTGCTTTCTCACTTTTGCAGTGAAACTATCCCTCTGTGTCACTTTAATCTTTAGGCTAAATGCTGCTTAATTTTAAGGAGCATTAGGCACTGTCACAATAGTAGACATCTATGTGGAGGTGAAACTCTTCTAATAGATTGGATTAGGGCCTTAAAATGTGTAAGACTTCAGAAACCTTTTTCCTTCCAGGTACTGTTACGAGAGGAACCTGGCAGTGAACCCACAGGGGGGTAACACAGGCCTTGTTGGGGGCAGCGTTCCTGTCTTTGATGAGATCATTCTCTCCACTGTTCTCATGAACCGGATCACCAGCTTTGACAAGGTGTCTGGTAAATATTGTAAGATGCAAGGCACAGAAATGAGCCTCAGGCCCTGAACCAGCCGTTTTCCTTGGAGCCAATAGCTACAGGATCAGCAAGGATCATAGGGGATGTCAGAGGCTTTTTTCATCCAGGCTCCTGCTGTTGATGTAATCCTTAAGTTGTAACAGTAGCAGACAAAAAATACATGTTGTATTTACCTTCTTCTTGAGTATCAGCTTGTAGCAGGTTGTTTATGTTTTAGGAATCCTTGTGTGCCAAGCTGGCTGCATCTTGGAGAAGCTCAACGAGTACTTGGAGGAGCAGGGATTTATCATGCCGCTTGACTTGGGGGCGAAGGGGAGCTGCCACATCGGTGGCAATGTGGCCACTAATGCTGGAGGCCTACGGCTCTTGAGATACGGCTCTCTCCGAGGGACAGTGCTAGGACTGGAAGTGGTAAGGCGAGTACCTGGCAGTTCCTTTCTGTGTTTAAACCTCTACTTCATACCATTTCCTGCTGTTCTAGCCCTTAGCTATCTATTAGCTATTATATCTATTATGCAGACCAGTTCCTCTCCAGGCTTCCACTTAACTTTTCCTTCTGTGGCTTTATTGAGAAGGAGTCAGCAAGTGTGTAGCATCTCTTATTGCTACCACAGTTCCCAGCTTCCACGTCTGTCCTTACTGACAGAAGTGGTATTAGATGGTGTTCTAATCCGGAGAAGTGAGAAGGTAGGGAGAGATTTGGTGATCCCAAGTTACCTGCATGAGGTTGGTTCCTCTGTAGAGCAGTGGGGCTCTGGAACATTCTGCTAATCTCATCCTACAGCACTGTCTTCAAGTGGGTGGTCACTTGACTTTTAATAGAACTGTCCACTTTGGGTTTGTTTGGCTGCTGGCTTTCTCCTAGAGTCTTTGCTGTTCCTCAGCCTGCTTCTGTCCTACAGGCCTGTGCCTCTGTAAAGGCTGGGATTAGTTCTAAAAGATTTCGGGGCTTGGAAGCAAAAAGCCTAAGAGGAAATAAATTAGGTAGGTAACAAAAGCCTTGTTTGGTTTTATTGTGTAGACCCAGAAAGGAGAGCTTTTGCTTCTCAGGTTAGTCCCTCTAGTGTGAAAACAGCCTTTAATAACATGTCTTGGAGACATTCAGCCTCGATTGAAGGCTCAAGTGGAGAGCTTACTTCATTCTGGTTAACTGTGTTCACTGGGTTAAATAGCGTTCCTTCTTTCTGTGGAGTAATGATCTTCACCACTAGTGAGAAAAGCAGAGAAATTCAGTCTCCTGTTATTACTTGTCCTGGTGGAACACGTGCAAACAGTACCGTAAAAAAAGAAGCACAAAAGTTTTGGGGAAGATTCAAGTAGGATATAGAGGGGAGGAAGAGCTGGGAATGGAGAAACAGGGACAAGACTCTGGGAATGGGCTGCACTGGGGTTCACTGGTCATTAGCTTGGTAGTAGCAGATTTCTACGCAGGTGCTTTGACTGGTCTCTGGATTCCCACAGGTGCTGGCTGATGGCTCAGCTCTGGACTGTTTGGCCTCTCTGCGCAAAGATAACACTGGCTATGATTTGAAGCAGCTTTTCATCGGATCTGAGGGGACCTTGGGAGTTATCACTGCTGTCTCCATACTCTGTCCTCAGAAACCAAAGGCTGTGAACCTAGCATTCCTAGGTAGGAGCTGCTACTAAGTTCACACCTGAATTCAGAGGCTGGGAAGGGAAGAGGAATGGAGTGAAGAAAGCACTGGTCAGCATGCTGAGCTAGACTGCCAGCATCACTTTGTTTCTGAGAAATAGTATGGTGCTAGATGTTAAAGTATCTGTGCAGATCTTTTACATCTGTGGTGAATGTGTGAAATACCTGCAAGGGCAGGTTGTTCTGCAAAGGAAGGGAGGCCAGGAGCTTAGGAGGATGAAGAGGCAGGAAGGACACTATTCTCACTAGTGAGGGCCTGGTCTGACTAACCACGCGATGTGAGCAGGGCAAGTCTGGTGATAGTAAGCACTCTGTCCAACCCAGTGGTTACCAGGTGAGGCCATAGTGACAGGGCAAGGCTGGGAAGTCAAGTCTGAAGGACAGGGTCTGGCTCAGCAGGGTACACGGCTAGGCACAGCTACTTCTGAGTGAGCCTCAGCAGGGATGTCCCTGCTTTACTTGAAGCCTGATGGACTTTTTAGGTCTGTTTACAAGGGTTTGGGAGCCTGTTTTTTGTTCCTCATTCCTCTCTGTGTTCTGTTTACAGGGTGTCAGAGTTTCACTAAGGTTCTGGAAACATTTACAACCTGCAGAGCCATGCTGGGAGAGATCCTGTCTGCCTATGAGTTCATGGATGAGAAGTGCATGGAATTGGTTGAAAGACATCTCAAGCTATCCAGCCCAGTGACAGGTACCAGTGTCATTCATGCTGTAGGAAGAGGCATTATACTGCTTGGGGATTTTTAGCCTAGCTTTTCTATTTATATATGTGTATCAATGAGCCTGTGGGCATCCCTCATAATTTTTGTACCCAGTATTCAATTCCAAAGACATTTGGTGGAAGCCTTTTAAGATAAGATTTGTTATTTCTACTTGTTCCCACAAAACTGCTGGTTTTCTGAAAAGCAGTGACTAGGTAGGGGATATAGCATGTCAGAGAATGCCCTAGAGATAAAGGATTGATACTTTAGCTGCCCTTGGACTGGCACCAGAGAATCTGGGCAGTAGAGCAACCTCCGGAAATCTGCCAAGCTTGGGAAAAGCTTCAGAACCTGTGCTATATTCCTGTGCTTTTTCCCCAGAGCATCTGCTTATTTTGTTCTCCCTCACTTTCAGACAGCCCTTTTTATGTTTTAATTGAAACTTCGGGCTCCAACTCAACCCATGATGAAGAAAAATTGAACAACTTCCTAGAACAAGCCATGACTTCTGGTTTGGTCACTGATGGAACTGTGGCAACAGATGAGAAGAAAATAAAAGCAAGTCATCATTTCCTCTTGCACAAATCTCTTCGACATGATTCTCTACTTGAATTTGTATTTTTAATAGGGAAGTGTGCAGACTGATGTTTGCTATAAATGTCCCTGACTGACCTGGTACTTGAGTAAGAATGCTAAGAGAGAATACCTACCACTGCTGACTCTTCCCGGAAGGCCTAAGTATTTGGGGCTTCAGTTCCCTCTTTTAAAAAGATCAGAGTAATGTACTACATCTTTCAGTAGTTGCAGGACCCAAACTGCCTGAAAACTATTGAAACCAGAAGTTGAGTTTCCAGCAAGGCCAGGAGTGAGCAAAGTCCTCTAGGTCAGCAGGACAGGGGTGTGTTAGAGCCAGAGACTGTCGTCCCTGGGAGCAGGACAGACACGTAGTGTCTTGGTAAGAAGGACAGTGTTTTGTGTCCATTGAACGTAAGTCTTTTACGCTGACCCATGTTTCTTCCAGCCCCAGTTCCCAAACCAGCCCGTGCAATTCAGTAGCAGAGGCATATCCCCAGATCTTGGGAAACCCACAACAGCTTTGAAGAGAATGCCCATGCCTGTGTTCTTTCTCTCTGGGGTACTAGAAGCTTGAAGAGTTGGTGTATCACTTTACTGTACAATGCTGCCAAGAAAGTATTATTGCTAGCTTCCAAGAAGCGGAGGATATCGAGGGAAATCAGATGTTGATGTTAAATGCAAAGAATCAAGGCTCTTTTTCCTTCCATGCCACAGTGCATGGAACCCAAGAGGTACTTGGTTTATGTGGATATCTTTGATCTTTGATTGACCAGACGCTGTGGAGCCTGCGGGAGAGGATCACAGAGGCCCTTACTCACGATGGCTGTGTCTACAAATACGACATCTCCCTCCCTGTGGGAAAGCTGTATGATCTTGTGACTGACACCAGGGCTCGGCTGGGCCTGAGTGCCAAAAACGTGGTGGGCTATGGCCACTTAGGTAAGTATGGATGTTGGGAAATGAGGCAATGGCTGATTTGTGCTCCAGGTTTTGCTGGGTAACTTCCTAATAGGTTTAAAGGTTGTTTTTTGGATTAGTGAGAGACATAGACTAAATAGCCAGGAGCTGTCAGAAGATGAGGATGCATGGGGATCTTTGAGTTCAAATTTCACTGCTTTCAGACTGTATTCTATATATAAATGGCAGGTTTCTAGACAGCCAGACACTGAACTGGTAATTTGTGTATTCATGGAATCACAGAGTGGTTTGGGTGAGGGACCTTAAAGCTCATCCAGTTCCAACCCCCTGCTGTGAACAGAGACACCTTCCACTAGACCAGGTTGCTGCAGGCCCCTGTGCCCAACCTGGCCTGGGACACTGCCAGGGATGGGGCAGCCACAGCTTCTCTGGGCAATCTGCGCCAGTGTCTCACCACCCTCACAGGGAAGAATTTCTTCCTAAATCTATTCTAAATCTCCCCTGTGTCAGCTCAAAGCCGTTTCTCCTTGTCCTATCACTACGTGCCCTTGTAAAAAGTCCCTCTCCAGATTTCTTGTCAGCCCCTTTAGGCACTGGAAGCTGCTCTAAGGTCTCTCCGGAGCCTTCTCTTCTCCAGGCTGAACAAGCCCAGCTCTCTCAGCCTGTCTCTTCAGAGCTTCTTTGTGGCACTCCTCTGGACTTGCTCACGCAGCTCCATATCCCTCTTGTGTTGGGGGCCTCAGAGCTGAATGCAAGAGGGATGTGGATTCTTGCTCTCTACTTCTTATTGAAAAATATAGGTCGTTTAATTGGACCATCAATTTGTACTTGGACACCTTTGGTAACACTTTTTTTGTCCAAAATGATCAGTCATATTGGAAATCAATTTTGTCTGAGTAATTAACCTTTCAAAAGAGAGTGATAAAAGTAACACATAGAAAGGCTGATACATTTGTCAGGATGCTTTGGAACTAATTTGATTTATACATTGGTAAATTGGTAGCTTAGCAGAGCTGTTCTGTTTAAAATAAAAAAAACCAAATCACCAGTAGGCTTGTTTTGAGATGATTTGAAAGACATGGAAAGACAAAAAGGCAAGCCTACATAACAAAGGCTGCCCCTGGTAGGTCTTGGTATTGGGGGTTAAGCTGTGTACTGTGAGGGTTTGCTGGGATGCAGGAAGAGGTTCCGGAGTGAGAATGAGTAAAGTTGTGTTTATCTTTGTGTATTTTGTCTCCTGAATACCCAACAACTATGTGCTTAATCAAACACCATCACACACAAGTAGCAAAAGAGGAAAATATTCTGCTTGCTCTGTTTCTGTTGACATGTGCCAAAGTGTGTTTAGAACATTGCACAAACATAATAGGGAGAGAGAAAGTGATGAAGGGCCATATTAAAATCTAACGATCATTATGAAACACCACTGGGACAGTCCTTGGCGTGCCACCTCTGTAGTCGAACAGTAACTAAGGCAGCACAGTTTGAATTTTAAAATCACAAATATGGAAATTTTAAAGTACTTAACTCAGAACCCTTCCTCAAATGTTGCACTGAAGGCATGGAAAAACAAAGATCCTGCTTGAATTATTTGTTCATATAGATGCTGATGTTTGTAGAAGGATAGCAAATTGTCCTTTACGCAGTCTGGAGACTAACAAAGGCACCATTGTTTGGGTACATGGAGAAGGCAGTAATGAGTCTCCGTTGTGGGACCACTGAGTGTTTCTTACAGACCCACCTCTGCAATGTTTTCTTGCAGGAGATGGAAACTTGCACTTGAACATCACGGCAGAGTCCTATAACCATTCCCTGCTGGATGCCATTGAGCCGTTTGTGTATGAGTGGACTGCAAGATACAACGGCAGTATCAGTGCAGAGCATGGACTGGGCTTCAAGAAAAAGCAATTCATTCAGTACAGCAAACCCAAGGAGGCAGTTCTTCTAATGCAGCATTTCAAAGCCATGTTAGACCCCAAAGGGATCCTCAACCCGTACAAGATGCTGCCCTCCAGTTCCTGAGAGCAACACACACTGAGAAGTGGGCAGATACCACCACACAAGGGTGGCACCTGTAGCTCAGTAACTGCACTTTAGGCATAAACAAATTCATGGATCAAGCAAGCACATGGAATGCTCCTTGTTTTATTTCCTTAAGGTGATGGAACAAATAAAGGAACACGGTTCCTCTTTTTAGGGGTGCCTGCTGTTTCTGAAGAGCACATTATTGTGTTTGTGTGAGTTTCCTGTTTAACCTGAGCACTGAAACCAAGCATGCAGCTATTGTATGTGGATATTCCAGCTCTCTTTCCCCTTAGTTTGCTCTGTAGTGAAGTGACACTAGCCAGAGGAGGCTGGTGTCACGCTTAGGGTGTGCGAGTGAAGTATCGGAAGCACAGGAGAAAAACATGGGGGTGTTATACCACCATCTGAGTGAAGGTCAGAAATCAAAGGGTTGCAGTGAATGGAGCTACATCTGGCTGGTGGCCAGTCACCAGCAGTGTTCTTCAGGGCTCAGTCCTAGGGCCAGCACTGTTCAATACTTCTACCAGTGATCTGGATGCAGGAGTTGAATGCACCATTAGCAGTTCTGCTGACAGCACTATCTCTGAGGGTGGTGAGACACTGGCACAGGTTGGCCAGAGAAGCTGTGGCTGCCCCATCCCTGGCAGTGTCCAAGGCCAGGTTGGATGGGGCTTGGAGCAACCTAGTCTAGTGGGAGGTGTTCCTGCCCATGGCAGGGGGTTGGAGCTTGATGAGCTTTAAGGTCCCTTCCAACCCAAACCATTCTGTGATTCTAAGCTGGGAGTGCTGTTGACTCTCTGAAGGGACAAAAGACCTTGCAGAGGGATCTAGACAGAATGGAGCATCAGGCAGTAATCAGTGGTGTAAAATCTAACAAGTGCTGGATCTCACACCTGGGACAGAGTAGCACCAGGCACAAGCACAAACAGGGAGAGAAGTGGCTGGGGAGCAGTTCTGCAGGGAAGGATCTGGGGTGCTGGGTGGCAGCAGGCTCACAGGAGCCAGAAGCGTGTGCCCAGGCAGCTGAGAGGACAAACTGCGTCCTCGGGTGCATTAAATGCAGCAAAACCAGACAGCCAAAAGAGGTGATTGTCCTACTGTACTCGGTGTTGGTGTGGCCTCACCTGGAGTACTGTGGGCAGTTCTGGACCCCACTGTTTATGGAGGATGTGAAGGTATTTTAATGTGCCCAGAGGAGGGCAACAAAGCTGGTGACAGGGCTGGAAGCCATGTCCTGTGAGGAGCAGCTGAGGACTCTGGGTTTGTCTCCTTTAGAGAAAAGGAGGATGAGGAGCTACCTCATTGCTCTCTACAGCTTCCTGAGAAGGGGACCTGGAGAGGGAGGTGCTGATCTCCTCTTCTTGGGATCCAGTGATAGGATGCATGGGAGTGGCTCAAAGCTGTGCCAGGCGAGGTTTAGACTGGACATTAGGGAGCATTTCTTTAACCAGAAAGTGGTCAAACACTGCAACAGGCTTCCTGGAGAGGTGGTTGATGCCCCAAGCCTGTCAGTGTTTCAAGAGGCAGTTGGGCAATGCCCATAATAACATGCTTTAAATTTTGGTCAGCCCTGAAGTGGGCAGGTCATCGTTTGGACTAGACGATCGTTGCAGGTCTTTTCCAACTGGATGATTTTATTCTGTGATGGGGTTTTTTGTTGGTTTTTTTTTTTCCCCTCTACAGTCTGTCTCTGCTTTTGAGATGACAGGAGTGATTGTCATCATTTACAGTTTGGTGTACAAAACCACATGGTCACCCTGTCAGAGGACAGGCCAAGCCTTCTGCTAGTGAGTCATCTTTGGGTCTAATCAGTGTTCGCTAGTCACATCTGTGTTTACCAATCCATGTCACTCTTAACCCAGACTGTTCAATCCACATGAAGTAGAAGGTTGGGAAAAGCCCAGGGATTTACCAGAAGTAAATTGTGTCAATAACCCAACCACCTTCTACAATAAAGTAACATTTTCTGTCCACGTGGGGAGAGCAGTGGATGCTGTGTGCCTGGATGTTGGGAAAGCGTCGGTCCTGTCACCACTGTTTCCCACAGTTTTCTCCTGGGCAAGCTGGCACAGCACAGACCAGAGGGGTATCTGCAGGACGGGCAGGAAGCTGGCTCAGAGGCTGTGCTCAGAGGGTGGCAATCAATGGTTTTTACTCAGGTCTACTGGTTTGGGAGGCCTCACTGGACTCCATGAGACTAGGAAAGGTGGTTATGTTATCCAGTAACTGTATTCTCCATTAGCTGCTTTTCCGTGATTTCTGCTCTTCCACAGTGCAGTGAAAGAGGTGTTCCACCCAGAGCCTCTTTCTTGGAAGAAAATAATCCTGGAAAGTATTTTATAATCCTGTTTTTAACCAGAACACCATCTCTATAAGGCTATGAGCGGTTGGATTGCATTAAGGATGGTGGCTTACACTCAGCACTGTGTTGCAACACTGTCACAATATAAATCTGAGGTCACAACTCTCTCGACCACACGGATGTTTTTAACTGCAATACCTCCATCTGTTATTCAACCTGCAGTGCCAATATCAAGCCCTGCCCTCTGGTCTCTTCCCTTCACCTCCCTCTTTCACTCCACTATCGGTGCACCCCCCACCTCCCCCTTCATTCCTCAGTACCGCTCAGAGAGGAGCCGATCATGTTCTTCTGAGGTTAAGCAGGGTGAATGTTGCTGTCATTAGGAAAGAGAAGACAGTGTGGAACGCAGTCGGCCTGTGCTGCTGTTGTGCATCAGGTGGTGCAAAAATATGGGAAGTCCAGAGAAGAAATGTACAGGATTTGCTTTCTGCCAAGTTAAGCTGATGCAGCTCGTTCTTTCTGGATCAGGCTGTTTGTATTCTGTGCCTTTTTCCTATGCCATTCTTTCTGTCGCCCGCCTCCCCCCTCAAACCACTGACCATAACTGTTTAAAATACAGGCTTTGCACGTGAACTGTTCTTTTTGGGAAGCAGAACTTTCCACACTGCTTTTTTTTCAGCTACATATGGAGAGAGTGCTAGGGAGGGAGTCAGGGCTGACAGACAACCTAGTGCTGTGGCCGGGGAAATCCTGGCACAGCTACATTTAGCCATCTTAACACACGAAGATCCTTATGCTCAATGTAAGTTTACTGTTTCAGCTAAACCATAGAACAGTTACCGTGAGGGAATGGAAGGGAGGAGTTATCACAGGGTTATTTCATAGTATCTTTCCTAGACCTGAACACTGGTGTTATCCTTCTCTTCCACATTCTCAATGATGCTTTCAAATATTGGTTTACTGTTGTATATAAGAGGGAGAGACAAGGTGGGTATATGGGGGTGGAGGGGGAATATTTTTATAAAGAATCATTTTGGTAGGAATTTCTTGTCAAAATTCCGGGGGGTGGAGGGGTGTTGCTGGGACAGACTTAAATATTAGAACAATGTGGATGCTCAGCACTTTGAGGCAGTGGCCTTCTGGCACAGTGAGGAAGGGCTTGACTCTGTACTCATTTTGACTGGGATAGTTCATTGTCTTCACAGTAGCTGGTCTGATGCTGTGCTTTGGATTTGTGACTAGTGTTGGTAGCACAGGGATGTTGTAGCTGAGGCTGAGCAGTGCGTGCACAGCACCAAGGTCCTTTCTGATTCTTACCCAGCCCATCAGTGAGCAGGCTGGGGTTGTGCAAGAAGCTGGGAGGGGATGCAGCAGGAACAACTGCCCCACCATATGATGCTGTGCTGGGGGAAGGAGGAAGCGGGTGCCTGAAGCAGAGGCAGCATGGAACTATTAACTCAGCATCCTGCCCCAGCTAACTAGTCCTGCGTCAGCTGGCTGACCTTCGCTTACAGTCCCAGAGCAGCCTGGCCCCACATGAAGCCAAATATTTCTGCATGGCACCGTACATTCCTGCGTAACCAAACCTGATGATTCATGCACAACACCCCAGGAGAGAGCAATGAATCAATTGTAACAGTGTAAAAAATGGTCTGGTGTGATTTCTGGGCTCTACCAGGTTCTGAGCAAGAAAGCACGCAGCTGATGCGTCTAATGTAACAGGAGACAGAAGTCTACTAAACGCGACCCCCTTGCCAGCAGCAGCTGACACTGTGCCAAGACTAAGCCTAGAAATTCTTTGTAAAGCAGCACACTGGCTCTCATTCTACCAAGAAACTCAAGGAAAGCAACCCTATCCTTTGTTAATCTGTGAATCTTGATAAGTGCTGGAGTTGGAGCTGGCCCGAGGAAGCTGTGAGTTAAAAAGAAATGCTGTATGTGTGGGCACTCTGAAGAGGTATCGGCATAGGTGAAAGATATCAGAACGCTGAGGACTTGGCTCTTGGTGTGGCAGGTTGGGGCACCAGCATATAAGGTTTAGAAAGGTGAGCACCAGGGGTGGGGAGAGAAAGGGGACCGTGTCAAGAGGTGCGTGGGAAGTGGCATGGCCATAAAAGACAAAAAGCAACAGCTTAATCCCCTGTTCCAGGCTGGGAGATGTGGGCAAACTGTTTACCAAACTAGGAGAGCATCGAACGTCACCCCTGGCATGTGGAGTAGGGAGATTACCCCATCTCGAGACCTGCAGGAGCCTTGGTGGAATCTCAGATTGCTGTGTAATGCAAGTTGTAATGGTTGTTAGTAACACCAGAAACTCACTTTGTAGGCAAACCATAAAGTAACACGTCTTTAGGGCCAGGAGCTTTCTCTCCCATGGCCTAGATTCAGCAAAGTCTTTAAGCTCGTAACCTCCAGCTACAAGAATTGCATTTTTACTGGGAAAGAGATTGAAGCCTAAATGTTTTGAGGGGAATTTCCAACAGGTGAACACCATTCCTGTTTTGCTATTCCTTATTTCTTGTTGTCAAAAGTGTCTGGCAGTGATTTACAGTCCTAAACCACTGAGCAAGAAGTGGAGGAACAGCACAGCGGGCACTGACCAAGGCACCAAGCAGCTTGGCTGTGGGCAGGGAAGGGGCACTGAACAAGCGATGTGACGGTGTGTGGGGTGACAAAGGGGCCAGTGATGCCCTCCTCCAGCCCCCTGCCACCAGCAGCATGCCTGGATCAAAGCCCCATGCCTCCCTCCTGCACCAGGAGAGAAGGGGGTCCCCATTGAGGGGTCCCTGCTAAATCCTTACTTCCCTACAAAACCGTTGCACGCCCCATCTCCCGAGGCAGCTCTTTACACCTGTATTAATGTCATGCCATAGCAGAGCTTTTCATGGCTTATTAATTAACTTCCTCCCACCCCTGGGAACACCTAGCCACTCCCTTCATCCTCACCTATCCCAGCCACTTACAGCAGTGATGGGATGCAGAAACAGAGACGTGTCCACTGAGAGGCCAGGAGCCTGTAGACAAAAGGAGTAGTGGAGTCGATTCACAAAGGAGGTATTTTCTAGCTCGCAGCAGTGAGGCAGCATGAAGAGCCCCCGGTGCACTTCAAGGTAAGGGGAGGGGAACGGGAACACGGCGGGTGCACAATTAAGGTAGAAAGGTCTGGTCCAGGTAATCCCTGGAAGTTATTAATAACCTATGGAGTTAGTTGCAGTTTGCTGCAGGGTGGAGATTAATTTTGATGTGATTGTTTCCTTCATGTACTCCAAGTCTTTTAATTTGAAAGAACCTTGTTAGGTCAACACAGAGAACTGTTATTTTCAGCTTAAGCCAAACAAGCCAGAAGGTTGTCCCAGGCCTTAAAGCATCCATAGCAGCACATCCAAGTGTGACCTGAGAGGTAGTTTTCCATGTTTTCTTCCTGGCCGGGAGATGGCACGGGTTGGGGAGGCGGGTTGAGCCTCTGGTGCAGCCCTGCTGACAGCTCCCCAAGTTGTTTTGCTTCCAGGAAAAATTCTGTGGCTTGGCGATCGGGTCCCAAGTGCTTCCTCAAAGGTCTCTCAGGCTGTTGCACGTCTTTCGTGCTTAGTTGACTTTCATTCAGTGTTCGAGTTGTGGCTTTCTCTCTTGAACTTTGCTTTGCAAAAGACTATATTAATGTGCCAAAAAAGTAGATGCTGGCTCTGATTGTACCCTGCAACTCTCAGCTATGCCACACTTCATGCACCCCCAGTGAAATGCTTCCTCGTGTGAGGAAGGAAGAAACCACTGCAGCCATGATCCCATGCATCATGTCCTGCACGCTCCCATTGGCAGGCCAATGGTTATGAAATCCCTCTGCTTGTGGCTGTAACTGTGAAAGATCAGTTCTGTCCTCCATAACATCAGGTGCTTCTCTGGTTCACCTTCAGCTTGTGCATGTGAAAGCAGCAAAATAGCTCTCAGACAAGTGGGAGGTGTCTTTTCTGGAGGGCATTAAAGGATGGGGGGGGGGTTAGCCAACGCTGAATAGGGTGTCTGTTGGCCCAGCACAAACAGATGCAGAAGTGGCTCGGTCAGACTCGCAGTCTTGTGACAAAGGTGTGTGTATGTGACACTAAGGGAACAGTCTTCAAGAGCAGTGCTGGCTCTCGCAGAGCTGTGCCAGGGCAGCGGGCGCAGAGCGGGTGGTGGAACCCCTGGTGCAGGTTTGCAGGACACGCTGAAGCCAGTGACAGGCTCTGTGGGTGCAGCAGTGGGTGGCTGAGCCCCAGGGGTGCTGGGGACAGGATCGGCTGCACGAGCACACTGACCAGCACCCTGCGTACCTGCAGCCCCCTCCTCTCATCTCCCTCCAGTCCCCACTTCCCTGCACTCCTTCCTGAGGATCACCTTGATCCCGGCCCTTGGTCCTTCTCCTGAACACCTCCACTGCTTGCCTTTGCTGCGCTGAGGGGCAGTGGGGCAAAGGTGTCTGCAGACCCCTCTCTGTCCCCATTCCCCACTCACCCCCTAAGCTGGAACACAGGTATCTTTCCGTCCATACATCCCCAGGCAGGGGAACAAGCACCATGCCACAAGGTAGTGTTGTTGGCACCATGGGACAAGAAGCACCCCCCAGCAGTGACAATTGTTCCTTAGCTGCCTCCCAAGGTGAGAACCAGAAGGACAACCACCTCAGGGGTGTGTGTGGCTACAGTGGATTCTCCCGCACCCTTTGGGGAAGCTGCATGCGTGATCACCTCTCTGAAGTGCCTGTCACCAACACATGCAGCGTTGGGAATAAATGAGAAGAATTGGGGATCTGTGTGTGATCCCAGGGCAAAGCTGTGATTGTGATCACAGAGACATGATGCGATAGCTCACATGCCCAGAGTGCTGTCATGGGTGCATATGTTCTTCTTAGGAAAGACAGGCCAGCAAGTGAAGTGGAGGAATTGCTCTTTATGTGAGAGAGCAACCAGAATGTGTCGAGCTCTGTCTCATGGTGGAGTGGGTCCAGAGAAGGGCAACGGAGCTGGTGAAGGATCTGGCGCACAAGTGTGATGAGGAACAGCTGAGGAAACTGGGGTGTTTAGTCTGGAGAGGACAAGGCTCAGGGGGGACCTTATCGCTCTCTACAACTACCTGAAAGTAGTGACATGGGGTCATTCTCTCCTCCCAAGTAACAAGCGACAGGACAAGAGGTAACAGCCTCAAGCTGTGCCAGGCGAGGTTTAGACTGGATATTAGGGACAATTACTTCATTGAAAGGGTGTTCAGACATTGGCACAGGCTGCCCAGGGCAGTGGTGAAGTCACTGTCCCTGGAAGTGTTCACAAACCATGTAGATGAGGCCCTCAGTAACACGGTTATTGGTGGTCTTGGCAGTCCTGGGGTAATGGTTGGACTTGATGATCTTAAAGGTCTTTTCCAACCTACGTGATTCTGATTCCATGAGCTTATGAGATGGTGTTGCTCAGGATACTGCATGGAAGAAGCAGGGCAATAAGTAGGTTTACAACCCTGGACTTCAGAAGAGTAAATTTTGGCCTCTTCAAGGACCTACTTGGAGGAATCCCATGGGTCAGGGCTCTAGAAGGGACAGCCCACTTGGGAACAGTATAGGAACGCTTTTCTGCAGTGCCATCACAGTGTTACAGCATCACCACCTGTCTCCACGCTTCCACTGTGTTTACCTCTGGTTCGTGGCCCCCAAGTTGTAGCTAGTGCAGCTGGCTATGGTGGCTGTGGGTTTATGTGCAGCTCTTTGTGTTGTGCTGGACTTTGCTCCAATCTTCTCTCTGGTTTTCCATGGCCAGATACTGTGGCCAGTCAGTGGGAGGCTATAGACCATGCCCAATGAAGCTGGTGGTTGCATTCATGTAAGGTCAACCGGGAGGAGCGATTCAGTGTCTTTCACATGGCACAAGCTGTAGGATACGAAAGCCACCACTCTGTACAGCAGGACCATGTGTGAGGATCCTTGGCCAGAAGGACAGTAGAAAGGACCACCAGGTCCAGCCTGCAGCAAGCAATGTGCCCCCATTGACCCTTGGACTGGGCAGGCTTGGAGCCTTCCTCGCTTCCTTGGGAGAGGGGGAACCATGAGTTTGACCATCCCATGCTATAAATGTGACTTTATCTTCTCAAAACAACTTAAAGCCCAAGCCACATCTGCTGCATTTTGGAATCTTCTAGTGAATGATCTAGAAGTTTCAACAGTGAATAAGCTCTAGAGCCACAGAGAGCTAAAAGAAAAGCAAAATAAAAGGCAGCAGAGCAGAGCAGGAGGCTGTCAGAAGCTCTCATGCTCTGCCTGAAGTAGGCTGTGTTTTGCCAAAGGACAAAATTTGGAGAGTGATAGTGAAAATGCAATTTCGCACTGTCCTGCCTCCAATGCCAGAGCTGCTCACACAGCTGGGGGAGCCAAAGGAGGCATAAAATTGTGCTTCCCGTGATGAACATTCCCAAGGTCAATCAGCAGTGTTGAGTGGTTCACGCTCAGGAGGCACTACCAGATAAAAATCCACTGAAACTCTCCTTTCTTTCCAGGCATACCAAATGTCTCGTCATTTTCAGCCTTTGCCTGGGACTCATCTTCCTGTCGGGATTCTTCCATATGAAGCACAAAGACTACATGTAAGTGCAGCAGAAGCAAGGTTGTGTGACTTCCTCTGCCCAGGGCAGCAAGGGTCTGACCTGTGGCACTTGGTTTAACTCATGAGTTTTAGGCTAATAATGGAAGGGCAGTGGCCCAAAGTTATGTCCTAGATCCACATTTGGGTAGGCAAGTGATGAAATTAGCCAAAGTGCAGATCTCTGGGGAAAAACCAGCCATATGGAAAAAGAAAAGGGGGTTGAGCTGAAGCTTTTGGGTGAGAACGTGGAGAAGCAGAAAACTGTCCAACACCTACGCCTGAGGGATGGGGAATATTTAGGTTGGTGCCCTGCCCCAGCTGCAGGTGTCGTATCAGAAAGAGAACCTGCTCAGGTTTGGCTTTGTCAGGTCCCAGAGATGGGGTATGGCACTGGAGAGGTTGTTTTCCCCATCTGTTGCCTTCCTGCAGAATCTCAAAGAGCCACGAGGAACTGCTGATACCTTTCGTGCCTTGCCATGCCAAGACTAACGTCATGTTCCTCAAAACCCACAAGACGGCCAGCAGCACCGTCCTGAACATCATGTTCAGGTTTGCAGAGAGGTACAACCTCACCGTCGCCCTGCCAGCTGACCAGCTTGTCCACCTGGGCTACCCAAACACCTTCCTGGCCCACTTTGTGGAGGAATTCCAAGCCATAGGACAAAACTATAACATCATGTGCAACCACCTGCGGTTTAACCCCTCCGAGGTAAGGAAGAGCCACAACACCTGCGGAGAAACCTGGTTCAACAAGCAGGGCCTCCAGACTAACAATCTCTCTTCTTCCTCCTGGCAAATAGGTGCAAAAGGTGATGGCAGCAAACACCTTCTACTTCTCCATCCTGAGGAACCCCATTCCTTTGCTGGAGTCTTCCTACATCTACTACAAGGACACTGTCCCTGCCTTCAGGATCTCCAGAGACGTGAACGAGTACCTGGCGTCACCCATGAAGTATTATCATCCAGCAGATTACAAGCAAAACATCTATGCCAGGAATATCATGTGGTTTGACTTTGGCTATGATAACAATGCAGAGGACAACAGAAAGTACATTCAGGCAGTCTTGGAGGAGATCGAACAGAACTTCCACCTGATCTTGATAGCAGAATACTTTGATGAGTCCATGATCCTCTTGAAGCACACTTTGTGCTGGGATCTGGATGATGTGGTTTACTTTAAGCTCAATTCCAGAAGCCAGGACACTGTCCAGACCTTGACTCCAGAAAGCGAGGAGCAGATAAAAGCATGGTGCTCACTTGACTGGAATCTCTACCTGCACTTCAACCAGAGCTTCTGGAGGAGAATTGAGGAGACTGTAGGCCTTGAGGAGCTGGAGAAGGAGGTGAGTCGCCTGCGAACAAGACAGAAGGAGCTCATGGAGACCTGTCTCTTGGACCAGGAGGCAGTGGGGAAGGATCACATCAAGAACAAAGCTCTCCTACCTTTCCAGTCAGGGGATGCAAATATCCTTGGGTACAACCTCAAACAAGGCTTAGACAACAGGACACTGAGAACCTGCCAGAAAATGGTTATGCCAGAGCTCCAGTACACATCCTATCTTTACGCTGTTCAACACCCGCACAAGAAGAGGAAGCAGCTAGGCTTGCCCCTGCTGTGGACCACTTTCCAGGAGAAGATGCAGCCCCCAACTCCCAATTAGGGCATGTGACAACCACTAGGGCAGTTTCCCACCCCTTTGCATCACCCCATGTCTGGCACATGACTGGCCCACAAGGCTCTTGCACATGAGGGAGAGCAGGGGAGGGCTTGTCTGGGGCCGCCAAACCAGTGGTGGGTCCATTTTTGAGGACCTTGAGCCAAAGGCTCTGCATTGCCCAGATCCTGCGTGATGCCTGTTACCAGGCAGGGGGACAGCCCGCTGCTGTTACGTGCTGGGCAGGCTTTCAGCTGGCTTAGACGTTTCTGCCTCTTAATCATTAATCATGGGCTTAATCATTTTGTTTGCATTTGACTTTGTTTAATAGCTGTCATTTCATCCAGGCTGGTCACAGCTCACTAGAACTAGAACTGTTTTGGGGCATTTAGTGGAAAAAACAGGAGGGAGAGGGAAATGAGAAGGAGAGAGCAATGAGGGGATGCGGTGCTCAGAGTAGAGGAGACACTGGGTGTCCTGTTCCGCAGCATCCATGCTCAATGATGTCTAACCACAATGCGATGCCAGTGCTGCTTTTTGGGTGAGCGTCCCAAACATCATGCCCGAAGCTGGGTGTGCTGCCTGGCAGCCTTTCCCCACCAGCATGAGATGTCCTTCTCGTGTCATTGGCTGTGGGGGCCTCTGCACCACTTGGGATAGCTTGTTGCTCCCCTGTGAGGGCTGATTTGGGGTTTCACCCCTCTCCCTTGGGTGAGGATGCCCAGTCCCTGGGCATGGATGGTCCCTTGGTCTCAGCATCCCTGAGGCCCTTTATCAGCAGAGGCTTTGTTGCTGATAAAGGGGTGGAGGGAGACATAGCTTTGGGCACACCAGTCACACCATTCAGGTCCCTGCAGCTGTCCTGAGCAGTGTGAGCTGGAGGAGATGCTGGCTGGGCTTTGAAATACAGCACCATCGCCGATGGCAAGTCCATTGGGCAATCATTAGTGGCCAGGACACCAAAGCCACTGAGCCTGGTGCTGCTGCCCTTCTGACAGACCTTCCCAGCGCTGTTGCAGTACTGGGACCTGGATAGTGTGACTGGGATGATGGATCCGGGATCACTTGCCTTGCAGCTTCGCTGTGGGGACAGATGCTGTCGGAGGGAGTGGTGTGAGAAGCAGAGCTGGGGTTTTCCTCGGCTGTGTTTAAACCCAGCAGGTAGCCGGGAAGCCAGCTGAGGCAAGGGTTAACCGCCTGCAGTGCAACCTGTGTTCCGCTCAAGCCATGTGTACCATGGGAGCAGCAACAGCACCTTCATGGTTTTCTGCTCCAGCAACCCGAGATAAAATTAACCAGGCATTTATAACTACCTGGGGTGGAGGAGACAGCAACTACATGTGTTCAGGCTGGGCAGTCCCTGGGGGCCAGTCCTGGCCAATTCTGCAGCCTGAGCCTGAGTTTTGCCTTGAAGTTTCTGATCCGTAACTGCCGTATGAATGTTGTTAAGCCGCTTTAGCTGAGCCGATGCCCGGGATGGGATATAAGCATAGAAATAATTGCTTAACAGCTGACCCGTGAAGGGGGTCCTAGGAAGGCTGGGAGCTGTGGGGAGCTCACAGCCGTGGTGGCTCACGGTGAACATGGATTGTAGGGCCTGGGCAGGGAGCTCTAACCTCTCCCAGCCTTTGGGAGGAGGGAAATCATAGAACCATAGACTGGTTTGGGTTGGAAGGGACCTTAAAGCTCATCCAGTTCCAACCCCTTGCTACCGGCAGGGGGGCACCT